CCTTCCGCCTTGTTTGTATTCACTGTTGTAGCCCCAGTGCCTAGAATAGTGTCTGTCACACTAAAAATTAATACATTGTTGTTTGTTGTTTTTGCTGTGAAATGAATAAGTGAGCAGATCCGAGCATTGGAGACAGCTTCAAATAAAGAACAAAACAGGGAGGGAGAATCCTTCCCCGCCCTTGGAATGAAATGAAAGACCATTATCGATTGTTGTTTCACCCATCTGGAAAACTGTATAGTGTTCTGGTAGATTTTGCTATTGAAAACCATTCTTCCCCTTAACTGGAAAAATATCTTGGCACAGTTGCTTTTTAGGACCTTTTGAGAATCATCTGAGCTACAATTAGTGTCCACTGAACCTTTAAAAATCTAGTGATTTGTTCTGCTTCAGAGATTCTCTCTCTCATTCTCTCTCACTCTCCCTCTCCCTCCCTGTGTGTGTGTGTATATATATATATGCGCGTGCATGTGCAATGGGGGGGAGGGTGTTAAAATCTGAATATTTCTTCTGATGCCTGCATCTCAACTAAAGCAGGTATTTTTTTGGAATAATTTTATTGGGAAATCATACAACTCATCACAACCCATCCATCCATCCTTTGTGTCAAGCACATTTGTATATTTGTTGCCATCATCATTCTTAAAACATTTGCTTTCTACTTGAGCCCTTGGAATCAGCTTTTCATTTTTCCTCCTCCCTCCCCAACCCTGTCTCCCTCATGAACCTTTGATAGTTTATAAATTATTATTATTTTTTCATATCTTACACTGTCTGATGCCTCCCTTTCACCCACTGTTCTGTTATCTGTCTCCCAGGGAGGGGGTTATATGTAGATCATTGTGATTGGTTTCCCCTTTATCCCCCCACCTTTCCCTTACCCTCCTGGTATCGCTACTTCTCATTATTGGACCTGAGGGGCTTATCTGTCCTGGATTCCCTGTGTTTCCAGCTTTTATGTATACCAGTGTACAACCTCTGGTCTAGCCGGATTTTTAAGGTAAAATTGACATCATGATAGTTGTGGAGAGGAAGCATTAATGAACTAGGGGAAAGTTGTATGTTTCAATGGTGCTATACTGCACCCTGACTGTCTTGTTTCCTCCCCGTGACCCTTCTGTAAGGGGATTTCCAGTTGCATACAGATGGGCTTTGGATCTCTACTTCGCACTCCCCCTCATTCACAATAATATGATTTTTTGTTCTTTGATGCCTGATCCCTGATCCCATCAACACCTCATGATCAACACAGGCTGGTGTTCTTCTTCCATGTGGGCTTTGTTGTTTCTGAGCTAGATGGCTGCTTGTTTATCTTCAAGCCTTTAAGACCCAGACACTATATCTTTTGATAGCCGGGCACCATCAGCTTTCTTCCCCACATTTGCTTATGCACATGTTTGTCTTCAGTGATCATATCAGGAAGGTGGGCACTCACTGATAGGATTTTTAGTTCTTTGATGTCTGATAACTGATCTCTTCCACACCTTGTGGTCAGACAGGCTGGTGTGCTTCTTCCATGTGGGCTTTGATACTTCTCAGCCAGATGGCCACTTGTTTTTCTTCAAGCCTTTAAGACCCCCCAGACGCAATATCTTTTGATAGGCAGACACCATCAGCTTTCTTTACCACATTTGCTTATGCACACATTTTTCTTTAGCAATCGTGTCGGGAAGGTGTGCATCCTGGAATGCCAATTTAATAGAACAACGTGTTCTTGCAATGAGTAAGTACTTGAGTGGAGACCCAGTGTCCATCTGCTGCCTTAATACTAGATCGTGGTCTATTTCATTCCTAACTTTTAGCATCTTTGTCTATCTTGTTGGTGATTCCATTGTTTTAAAGTGCTCCCCAAGCACAGTGCTGGTGTCTTGTCTGCAGGCAAGACTGTGAGTTGCCGTATGGAAAAAATACATGTTAGCGAAGCTTCCTTCCTTCAAGATGAGGGTCGTGGTTCTGCTGGCCAGGTGTGCAATGTTGGTGAGTCAGCAATGGATGCTAAGTAAGCTGCCTTTCAACTGGAACACAAGGGAAAGAAGCTTGTAGGTTAATTTACTGACGAAAATGTGACCAGAAGTCCTTGGGAACTTAATTTGTATTCCCTCAAGATGTTAGTCCACTGTTGGCAGTGATTTTATAGAATATAGCAAACACCAAAAAAAATCAACTATTTGTGTGTATATATGTATTTAAACACAACCTGCATATATAAAATGTGTGTCTATAAATATATTATAAAACACACATGCACATGTCATATAGATTTAGACTATATATAACTACACGTATATTGTAGATCTATTAGGAGTCCTGGTGGCACAGTGGCTATCCAGTGGACTGCTAACTGCAAGGTCAGCTGTTTGAAACCACTAGCTACTCCCCAGCAAAAGATAGAGCTTTCTACTCCCATAAAGAGTTAGTAGTCTCAGAAACTCACAGGGTCTGCTCCACTCTGTGCTGCAGAGTCACTGTGAGTCGGAATGGGCTTGACAGCACCGCGTGAGCGGTGTGTGTTTGTACACAGAGCGTTTTAAAGGGGATCATAACAAACATAAAGGACCCGCTTCCCCGTTCTCCAGCTTAGGCCATTGGACCTCACAAACACCGTTGAAGTAGCGTCTGAAGCTACCCTGAATTCTCCGCCCTCCTCCAAAGGTTTAGCATTAACTTTGGTTTAAAGCTGGTGAATTCTTCTTTTCCTAAACAAAGAACACTTTCAAAGTCATCAAATTTTGTGGTTCATTCTTCTGGGATTACACTCGTTCTGTCTTAAGAGGTTATAGCGTTTTCTACCTAGCAGTTACTGCCTTGCTCACGGTAGTGGCTCAATAAATACTGTTAAAATATTCTGCATTCATTTCTCTCTCTCTCTCTCTCTCTCTCTCTCTCTGGACATGGGACAGAAACAGTAGAGCAAACTCCAGTACAAGTTTCCAGTAGTTGGCCATGAACTGTTATTTCAGACTGGCCTCCCCTTCCCATTTTTCGGGTTGTATGATAACGCCCTGGGCGGAAAGCTCTGGCATGCCCATATGGGGCCAGTTTCTGCACCATCTGTTTATTCACCAATGCCTGAAGGGGAGGGGCAGTTGGTGAGGAACATTACTGGCCCAGGAGAGTTTGCTCGAGTTGAATTCTCGTTTTCAAGGACAGGGAAATCTCGTTGAGTAAATGAAAACATGAAACCTGAGTTGGCCTTAAATTTAGTTTCCAGCCAATTTTAATTAGAGAAAAAGTTCATGGTCTTCATTCCTTATGTGCTTTTTCTATATTTGGGGGCTTAAAAGCTGTGTCAGTACTGCCTTTGGGAAAAAGGATTTGTTGTTAAACATAAGCCTTTTGAACTCTGTAATTACCCTTCCAAGGCTGCATATTTGCATCTGATAAACATGAGGTCTAAGTTTTATCCAAACCCAAACAATTGCCATGTAGCCAACCAGACTCACAGGGACCCCAGAGGACAAACAACTGTCCCGCAGGGTTTCCAATGCTGTAGAACTGATGGCAGCAACTGCCCCCTCTTTCTCCCTCTGCGTGGCCTAGTGGGTTCGAACTGATGCCCCTTCTGTTGGCAGACAAATATTCAGTCACTGCTGTATCAGAGTTCTTTCCATAAGTTTTGGTGCCCAGTACATGAAACAGTGAGAAGAATGAGGGTGTATCCCAAAATAAATCAACTCTATGGAAAGTGTTAACCAGCTCATCCCCAGGGGCTATCGTGAGTGTCTCCGTTGTGCAAATGAGGAAATGGACATGACAGTTAGTGGTTTGCCCAAAGCCACACTGTCATTGCAGCAGGGAGATTGAAGCAATGGTCCTCTGTGCATGAAAACGCAGTCATGTTTTCATGTGAAGGCATTTTGGGTCTTAGTCAAAGGACCTAAATTAAGATTCGGGGACTAACAAGCCTTTGGGTGTTTGAAAGAGCCTTACATGCCAACCACAAAAGCGGACTTGTTCCTGAAAGTTACCTGCGGGGTTTTGAATAAGACACAGGTTTTTTTAAGAGGACTTATTTGCTTGAAATCAAAAGCTCTGCATCTGGCGAAACATGGCTGTGAGAACTGAGAAGCGATGGTTTCAAATACAGTGGACCCTCCCAGAGAGTAAGAGGGAGAGTGGTGTCTCATTCTGTGGCAGTCTACTTTGACAGCTGATGAGAAAACAGGCTTCTCCTAGGAGCTTGCTTTTCAAAAAATGATTTCAGGGGATTGACTCAAGATCTGTCTACAGGCTTCCTTATCATGTGCCTCTGTGGGATTCATGGGAGATTAAGGATATATGCAGACAAGCCACATGGTCTCTCTAGTAGCAATGAAACTTCAGAAAAGATTAGTACTACTAAGTAAATATTGAGGGCTTATTTTATACATACTTTTTTTTTTAAATAACAACTGACTAGAAGAAAAAAAGAAATCTTGCCCAAGGTTAAGCTATAGGTAAAAGAAAATTTCTGTTATTCACACTGGTAAGCTTTTCTTTATTTTATACTGCTGGTGGAGAACACTGAGGAATAGACGTAGATATTGCTTACTTGGGTGGAGTCTGGGTGGTTAGACGTTTATAAGGAACGCCTACGTGGGGCTGAGACTCATAAAGGCCTCCAGTCCCAGAGACATTTTTTCAGACCGTGCTAGATAAACTCTTGCCCTTATCATCTATATCTTTCCCTAGATTTCAGGTAGTCTAATTTATCGTCTGAGAGCCTCTGATTGATATGGCTGCCGTGATGAGTAGATTTAACAAGGAGCCACTCTGGTTATCTTGTTCGGATTTGACGTTTCTCATGTCTTTTAGGGCAACTTATACTCCTACGATGGCTCCCTTTCCTGGTGCTGCCTTTACACAGTGAGACGTGTAGGAGAGTCCCACTTATCCTCAGGATAGCCTTCCCGAGTTATGAGGAAGACAGTGGGAAGGCTCACCTGTTCTACTTCCTGAAAGCCTTCTATGCAGACCTTTCTTCACACGCCTGCATTTGTTTGGCTTTTTCTCTGCTCTAGGGATTGACATCCTGAAGCTTGTAGCAGCCCAGGTGGGAAGCCAGTGGAAGGACATCTACCAGTTTCTGTGCAATGCCAGCGAGCGGGAGGTGGCCGCTTTCTCCAACGGGTACACTGCGGACCACGAGCGGGCCTACGCAGCCCTGCAGCACTGGACCATCCGGGGGCCAGAGGCCAGCCTGGCTCAGCTCATCAGCGCCCTGCGCCAACATCGACGCAACGATGTGGTGGAGAAGATTCGGGGACTGATGGAAGATACCACCCAGGTAAGGTAGAGCTGATTGTCTATCTGCTCTGAAAGCCTTTTCCGATTTTATCAGGTTTTATCTAACAAGAAGAAAAACTGCTATTAGATGTTTAGAGTCACCCATAGGCCTGCATACCACTCCTTCTCTGAACACGTGGTTGTCCGTGGCTGTCCATTACGCCATCTTGAAAACTTGAAAAGAAACTCGGATGCGTGGGCCTCACTACCAAAACCCCAAGCTAACTGCCATAAATCAGTTCTGGCTATAGGGTAGCCTGGAGTGGCTCTTTAGGCTTCTGAAGCTGTACGTCTTTAGGGGTGCTACTCCCCTCAGCTTTCTACTGTGGAGCAGCTTGTGAGATCAAACTGCTGGACTTAAAGTTAGCAGCCTGAAGCACAACCCGCTGTACCACCAGGGGTCAATCAGAATCCTTAGTGAGGGGACCTATGAACCAGCATGTTTTCAAGAAAGCTCTCTAGGGGACTAAGGAACCCAGCTGAGCATCATTGCCTTTGGGGTGGGGTCAGCATCCGCAGCCAGCTCTGCTCTTGCTCACTCGTGCTACCATCTCATTCGCACAACCTCCTGCAAGTAAGGCCACGAAGGAGGACTCCCCCCCTTCTTTTCTTAATATTCTTCCCTCCAGAGGATGTCTGTGTGTGGGGGGTGGTGGTGGTGGGGCAAAGGGTGTGCCCCCCTGGGGATACAGGTGGTGCTGCCAGCAGTTGATAACAGGATTGGGCTTGTTCAGTACTGCACATCAGCTGGGAAGTGAGGCGCTCGGGGAGAGGAGGGTTTGACCTATTTATAGTCAGTGGCCTGGCAGCCCTGGCTTTGAAGGCAGATAGTCATTACTGTATTTTAATCCTGGCTCTGACCCTGAGTAGCTGGGGTTGGCCAAGGGTGAGTTACTACAGTTGTCTGTCTCTGTGATCTCATTTGGAAGCCTACTTTATGGGGTGGGGGAAGATTAGATATCAAGTTTCTAAAAGCTGGACATATTGTATAGAAGGTGTTCTACAAACGGTACTTAGGATCATGGTGTGGCGGGTTTTCCTGAGCCCTTTCTGCTTTCCGCCAACTCTATGAACTGGGTACCAATCATTGAATCCTATTTGCCAGACATTTGGAGGAAAGTTGCAAAATGTATTCCGAAAGAAAAGAAATTCTTAAAGGCAGTAAGAGGCACCAGTGTTTTCATGGCAGCATTCTCATTTTCTGTGTGGAAGACCTGGGCCTGTGTCCTGGCCAGGTGATTCACGACAGCCACCTACTATCTTTCCGGCAGTGGATACTAACGTGTTGCTATGGTGCTGAACAGATTTCTGCGGAGCTTCCAGATGAAGACAGACTGGGAAGAAAGACATAGCCCTGTCCTTCCAAAAGCAACCAATGAAACTCCTAAGGATCCATGGGCATGACTCAGGACTGGGGCATTTTGAGCACGTGTGCATCATGTCACTGTTGTGTTAGAGGGCAGGGGTGACGAGATGGAGCGAACAAGGTTTGATAACCCCCCACATAAGATTTCAAGAGCCATTCTGTTATTATTCCATTCCATACAAGAGCTAGGTAGAGGTTTTTTTTTCTCATAAATTGATTCATTATGATTCTGCGCCAAAATTTGCATACCAAGGCACACTACCATATATTTTAAAAGTCCAGAAAAAATTTTCCCCTCTTTTATGGACATGGTAGTGAAGTATAAGCATTCACTTGGTGGATCTTTTATCTGAATGATTGTTTGGATAAAAATGTACCGGTGCTAATTGACTCCAAAGGGGTTCTTGAGAATGCCTGGCATATTTTCCGCAAATTTAAATGTGGATTTTCAGAAAGCTGTGTTGAGAATTAGAACAAGGGATTACAAGTAAAAGGTATACACCAGTGTCTAGTGGCTTTCTGACAAATGGTCTTGATAAACATGGTTCCCAAGGCAAAGTAGGTTTTCCCTGGATTTGGGGAATAGCAAGGGAGATGTGTATCCTCCATTGAAATGAACACCGGCTGCAGTTAGATTGAACGGAGTCAGAGGCAAAGCCCTGCAATGCTCCCTTAGAGAAAGAATTGATGGGATGAGGCGGAGACTTGAAGAAGGACTTAGATATTTGAGAAAGAGTCACGGAGCTTCTTGGTACCAAAGCATTAATGTTGGTGTTAGTAGTGATTGAATCTGGTTTATAGAATTAAAAGTGATTTGTTCTTTTTTATGACATTATTTTTATGAATGAAAAACATCTTTTTTTCTTTTTCACAGTTTTGACCTAAAATCTGCACAACATACAACTTAAGGGTTTGAGTATATTAAAAAGTTGTCATCATCACAATCAATTTTAGGACATTTTCCTCATTTTTGAACTCATTTTTATTACCCTCCGCACTTCCCTCCAACCTCGCCTGCCATAACCCCAAGAAATGATTCATCTAGTTACTTCCTCTCCAGATTTGCCGATCTTGGATTTCGTATAAAGAAAGCCATATATACACAATAAAGCCAATAATAATAAAAACTTAGAAAACCCTCAATCCAAGAGAAAGTAGAAAATAATAAAAGCTAGGACATATTAAAAAGCAGCCGAAGGGAAAACAAGCGATAAGGTGTTAACATTAAACTGACAATACCTGCACCAAGTCACTTTGTGATGCACTCTACTTGAGCGCAGGGGAGGCTATTCGCATCCCTCATGAACAGTCCAAAGGGAATTCAATGGAAGCCTGATCTCTGCAAATGGATTTTGCCTTTCACTGTTATCCACAGCCTTCTGCAAACTGGGTACTCAGAATTTAAGCTCTAATACAATCCCCTACTCTGGTCTTGATTTCTATTATTTATAATCCTTGGATCACACAGGATGGTATGTTCCTGTGTGGGTTTGGCTGGCACCTCACTTAGATGATTGCTTCTTTTAAGACAAGCTTTTTAAGACCCCAGACACTATTCTTTCTGAGAGCCAAGCACCACATTTTACTATAGTACTCATTCAGATCTTCAGTGATCCTTGCACAAGGCTAAGTTTCGAGCAGGGCCTTGTTCCCAAGAACTGATTGTTTTAGAAAAAAACTATTCTTCTTATGAGTATTTTTAAGGGACAAAGCTGAAAGCATTCAGAAGAAAGGATAAGCAAGGCTTTGTTTTACTCCCCTAAACTGAGAAAGAGAAGAACTGACAGTGATTTGCTGTCTTTTTATTTATTTATTTTTATTTTTAAAATAATTATATCATTTTATTGGGGGCTTGTACAACTCTTATCACAATCCACACATACATCCACTGTGTCAAGCACATTTGGACATTTGTTGCCATCATCATTCTCAAAACATTTACTTTCTACTTGAGCCCTTGGTATCAGCGCCTCATTTCCCCCCTCCCTTCCCGCTCCTCCATCCCCCCTCCCACATGAGCCCTTGATAATTTATAAATTATTATTATTTTGTCACATCTTACACCGTCTGACATCTCCCTTCACCCACTTCTCTGCTGTCCGTCCCCCAGGGAGGAGGTTGTATGTAGATCCTTGTAATCTGTTCTCCCTTTCTCCCCCACCTTCCCTCTACCCTCCCGGTATCGTCACTCTCAACACTGGTCCTGAGGTGTTCATCTGTCCTGGATACCCTGTGTTTCCAGTTTCTATCTGTACCAGTGTACATCCTCTGGTCTAGCCGAATTTGTAAGGTAGAATTGGGATCATGATAGTGGGGGGGAGGAAGCATTTCAAGAACTAGAAGAAAATTGTATGTTTCATCATAGCTACACTGCACCTTGACTGGCTCATCTCATCCCCACGTCCCTTCTGCAAGGGGATGTCCAATTGCCCACAGATGGGCCCTGGGTCCCCACTGTGCACCTCCCCTCATTCATATGCTGTGATTTTTTTTGGTCTTTGATGCCTAATACCTGATCCCTTCGACGCCTCGTGATCTCACAGGCTGGTGTGCTTCTTCCATGTGGGCTTTGCTGTTTCTTAGTTAGATAGCCACTTGTTTATCTTCAAGCTTATAGGACCCCAGACTCTATATCTTACTTATTTATTTTTAAACTATTTTGGGGGGGGGCGCACACAACTCTTATTATAATCCATCCATACATCCATCGTGTCAAGCACATTTGTTGCCATCATCATTCTCAAAACATTTGCTTTCTACTTGAGCCCTTGGTATGAGCTCCTCATTTTTCCCCTCCCTCCTTGCTCCCCCCTCCCTCATAAACCCTTGATAATTTATAAATTATTATTATTTTGTCATATCTTACACCCGACAGTGATTTTTATGGAAACCCATCTTCATAAGGACTGAGTGAGGTTTGCTATGTTGGGCCATATTTGCCACCAACTCATTCATTGTTGGTTTTTGCAAAGCTATGTCTTTGCTCTGTACACCCCCTGATCACTCGGAATGTGTGTCTTGTCTTTAGGGTCCTCTATCTTCTTGAGAGTGATGGAGGTAGTGTAGTAGGGGAATGAAGGCTCTGAGCTCCATAAATGTTTATCAAGCCCTACTTTATTAACATTCTTATACCATTCCCAAAACAAACTCACTGCCATTGAATCAACTCTGATTTATAGTTTCCCTACTTAGTGTTTCCGAGACTGTAAGTCTTTACTAGAGCAGACAGCCTTATTTCCCCCCCAAGAATTGGCTGGTGGGTTTGAACTATAACCTTGCAATGAATAGCCCAGACCTTAACCCAGAGCACCACTAGAACTTCTTAAACCCTGTCATAGGTGCTGGAAAATGTGGATGTATGGGTACCTCCTGACGTCAAGAAAGATTCCTGACAGAATTACTGGGTCAGTGTCAGTGGACAAGAAAACAGTCTCTACCCCCCAAGTTCTACACTTTCATGTTCTTTCTCTCGTTCCTCTTAAACATACTAATATATTTTTCTCAGGGTTATTATTATTATTATTATTCAGAAACAGTGGCCTACTTGTTATGATGAGGGTGAGATGGTAATATTCAAGGTCTTGTTCCATGGTTTAATAGTGAGCATCCTTATTAACCGAACACCATTGTCTGCC